GGGAGTTGAAGTCCACTCATCTTAAAGTGGCCAAGTTTGGACAACACTGCTCTAAAGGATGGGTCAGCAACCTTCTTCACTGTAGGGGCTTCTTGGTGGGGCAGGGGGTGTCATGGCCATTTTGGGGATAATTCTTGTTCAGCCCATGCCAGAGCAGCTGGTGAAGCCATCAAGGAGGCGGCAAATGCTTTTTCTCTCATAGGCTTGGTAAATATATTTTTATATATTTTTGGTGGAGACGACAAACCAGATGATTTCAGATGGTGAGCCACATCCAGCCCGTAGGGCATAGGTTGCCGACCCCTGCTTTAAAGCTCCAACTGTCTGGCTTCGAAGAAGATGGCGAGTTGCCACCAAGAAGCCACTTGGAGCCTCATGTCCCATCTGATCCAGCAAGATCTGCTGCAACAGCAAATCCATGTTGCTAACCCAAGCCTTTAAAAGATGCTTTATGCATGTGCAAAAGCCTGTCCATCATTTTGTGCATGCGAAAATTAACAAAAAACATATCCAAAACTGTGGACAGGCAAAAAAAACTCTATCCAGATACTGAGGTCTGATGTCTGTCAATCAGACATACAGACCTGCAAGTAACAATACTGTTATCCCACCAATCAGTAAGTAGCTATGTCCTTATGCCAGCTCTGAATAGTAGTTGCTGTTGGCTGGGGAATTCTGGGAGTTGAAATCAACATGTCTTAAAGTTGTCAAATTTGAGAAACACTGATCTAACGCAAGGATGGAGGTCACATCATTTGTGCAATTGTCATTACACATGTTGTCGCAGGGATTTTGCAATTTCTCAAGCAAACCATGATTAAGCTAACTGCGGTTCAGTGCAATAGACAACCTCATAGCCCCTGGGTGGGCACATCCCTTAAAGCCATGTCTTAATTTGGGTTTATGCACGCATGGAGTGAAGATCGGTGCGCCCAGTGACTGTAGTTGTTAAACCGTGGTTTACAACTTAAGTTTTATTTATTTTATTTATTATGCAACTGTTTTATATCTATATGGCTGCCCATCTCACTGAATGGGTCTCCGGGCGGCGCGCAACCCACCATGGAAACCACGCCACAACTGTTAAAACACTTTAAAAAAATAAATAAAAGCGAGATTGCGGGAGAAGAACAGCCCCCTAAACCCAGTTTATTGAACAGCCATCGCGCAGGCTCCCCCGTTTATGTACCCCCAGCCAAGCGTGGCTTTGATTTAA